ATAATAATAATAATAATAATAATAATAATAATAATAATAATAATAAGAAGAAGAAGAAGAAGAACAACAACAACAACAACAACAAATATATCTACTAAAAAAGATAGTTACACATATTGAAAATGATAATATAGAAGCTACACTATTTACGTTATTCGGACTATTGTACTCATCTTTGTTTTCATATTTATCACACCGTTTCGGCTGTTGTACGCTCCGGCCTTCTTCAGGTGGTTGGATTGTCGAACTGAACCCTTTATTTCGCTCACGGGGGTAGACTGTTCTAGTTTCACGTGCCATGTTTAATGGATGTCAGTTACCAGTTATCTCCTGTTAATTCCCCTCTTCGAGTTCTCCACCGCCTTAACCAGGTATTGAACTCACACACTTTTGGTCCTGTCACTGGATCTAACAAACACCTTTATCCATTGTGCCATGTGTCCTTAAGTTCAATACCTGGTTAACTGTTCTGAACTTCTATGCTTTTTCAATCATTTTATTTGACAGAAACGCCTAACAATTTCTTCATATGTAGATTCGAGTTAAGGCAATAGAGATTTGGTTTTACTGATGAATGTTCAGAATATTATGGATGGCCAGTGTGAGCAATATTTTAGAGACAACTGAAACAAAAATTACATTAACACTTAAGTTCACAAAGTGACAAATGAAATATCTGGGAAAAGTAACGAGGAAAGAGCGCTTGGAGAATCTGACACTAGCATAACATATTGATGTCAAGAGGAAAAGCGGAAAATAACGAGTAACCTATCTATCAAGCTTTTGTAAATGGATGCCAGAGCAGGCAGTGGTAACAGTGGTAGCAGTAAGACAAATAATGCTAAGAGCTACAAAACTTGATAGGACATTGTGAAGAGCCGAGATCATTCACGTCCTGAAGAGGCACGGTATATTGAAGAAGAATTTCGATGGCACAGACATATTTAATGCCTGGCAATATTTATTTTCCTTATCAGCGATTATTATTATTATTATTATTATTAAACAAAGAATGATAACTGTTATTTTCGTGAAGCGGATGGTAATTTCAAAGCTGGCATTAATATTTATACGATATTTCTAGGAATATTTACAGTTATAGGTTAATTGCTTTTACGTTAGCATATTAAAAAATCCAGATTAATATAGCCACGATGTCAATGCGGCAACTGTGAGTTTTGAACGCAATTATTACATTGTAAATCGGGAAAATGGCGTCTAAAACGGGAAATTTTGTATATTTTCGCACTTATTCATAATCGTTTTTCTATAGGCGTTCTCGATTTACCAAAAATATGAACCTCTGGACTCTCTATCTTTCCCTCTCTCTACACATACACACACAAGCAAATACACACACACACACACACACACATATATATATATATATATATATGTGTGTGTGTGTGTACAGAGATGGAAGAAGTAGAAGAGAATTCTATGAAGGAATTGAAATAAATATTATATTCACTTATCTCGCGAGACCCGTTTTTCTAGGAAGATAACTCCACTCTTTAAGAGCAAGATAAATCTATTGAATATATTAACATATATATGAAGAAAAAGGGGGGCAGGAACCGATCTTATCTCACCATCTATCCCTCTCTCTCGCTCCCTATTTTCTCTTTGTGAATATATCACTGACTCTATGTACCTCCATATTATTCTATCTCCTTTTTCTCCCCCACCTCTCTCTCACTATATATATATATATATATATATATATATATATATATATATATGTGTGTGTGTGTGTATGTATATACTAGCAGTAGATCCCGGCGTTGTCCGGGGATGTAACAGTAAGAGATAGATCAAGTATCGACTATCATAAAGACTGAAAAATAAAATTGACAAAGATTATTGTTTAAAGTTGACGAACACGCATGTCTTAATTAGTTTTTTTTTTTTTTTTTTTTGCGAATTGATCAATTGGTCAAACCCAAACTCAAACAAAAACATTGTTTTCAATTGTTATGACTCTACCGATTGAATAGAATTTTATGATAAACAATTGTCTTGTAAATGGAATTTTTAAAGCATTCTGAATGTAAAAATAAAGAAAAAAGTGTGCAAGACAATAAGAAACATTACCTGCCCCACCAAAAAAGTGAAGTTTTGTTGAAATCGGTTGAAAAATGTAGGAAATCCGAACCCATATATAAACGAACACACACACACACGAACACACACACACACACACACACACACACACACACACACAACCAACTTGGGTTTTATAATAAGTATAGCTGGATATGAGTTGTCCCCCTTTCATGCCTCTTAATCCGATCAAATATATAAACGAACACACACACACACACACACACACACACACACACACACACACACACACACACACAACCTGGGTTTTATAATAAGTATGATGTATGCATTGAGATAGATGGATAAATAGATAGATAGATCGATACCCTTGTAAACATAGCTGTAGATTAGAAACAACACACAAAACTTGTTAGTTGTTCATTGCAATGAAGCAGACCAGAATTTTGATATAAAATTACAACTCTAATTAAAACAATAAATAATTCACTAAGAGGAAAATGTCTACAAAGACTTAAATCCTTAGTCCAGCCATGTTAATTTGCTTCCAGATTCCTACACCCTTTTTACTATTCTTTTCAGATTTTTCGTTATAACCATATGGGATATTCCAAAGTAAAGATGATGCAACGAAAAATAATATGGATGAATTGGACTACATTGCAAAAAATTCTTTCAAATTTCTTTCAAAAATTTTAAAACTAACACACACACACGCATATATATATATATATTATAAATTAATTGATTTAAAATATGGTTATTTTCGCTATAAATTAATTAATCAATTAATTTATAATATTAATGCTCTGTAAATTTACATTGAGCACTATTTTGTAAAAATAAAATATCTATAAGAACACCGGATTTTATATCTTACTGTTCTTTCTTTTTATTTATATACATACATATATATATATATATATATATATATATATATATAACAAATTATGAAATGGAGAAAGTCCGACAATTATTTTAAGACATTTTATTTTATACATTCTTTTTATAGATACAAATATTTAAGTAAATGCATTTCCTTAAATATTTGAGCATTTGAGCATTTACTTAAATATTTGTATCTATAAAAAAATAATATATATATATATATATATATATATATATATATATATATATATATATGTATGTATGTATGTATGTATGTATGTATATGTATATTCATTGCCCGCCAACAAAAGTCGATACATTTCAGGAAAGGAAAATCTTGTCTTTCATATCTTTGTCAAATTGCGATAAAACAGTTTATTATGGGGGACCCTAAAGTGTGTTGTGTAACACAGAAAACCGATTATATTGACGTCTCTTAGGCAATAAATTGAAAATGCATGTGCAACCATCACATTGTGCACTTTGGCCAACTTTGCCCAGACAGTGGTTAGTTGTACTAATAAATGTCTGGAAGCTAAAGGCCGCCATTTTCAACATCTTATGTAAGGTGAATTTTATTTTCCTGAAATCTGTTTGGATTTTGGAGGCGGATTATATATATATATATATATATATATATATATATATATATATACGTGTGTGTGTGGAGAGAGAGAGATAGATAGAAAGAACAATTTAGAAAGAGAAACTGATGATGATGTCTATGTGCGATGAACAATGATGCTGTTATTAATAAGAGAAGTTCCACTTGAATACTTGATACATCGAGTAGCAAAGCCTCTGATCGGAAGATTTTGAGGTGTGTGGAAGTACCTCTTAATTGCTGTTGTTCCCAGGTTCACCCTGATCTGGGGTGCTAGCACCTATTAGCGTACCATTTATGGGTAAACACGCAAACTGGGGTCAAACATTATGAAAGTGTAGATATACATTTTTATAGTGTAGGTGCTACCAATACATTTTACATAGTAAAAAAAAAAAAACCAGCAATACGTTTTTTTGTTAGAAAAATAATTATCAATACATTTTTTTGCAACAGTAATTACTAATGCTCCCAATAAAATTTAATTTCGGCGTTAAATGACCCATAAGAAGTTGATATGCCGTGAAACCAACAAATCAATCGAAATATTTGGAAATTCATTTCTTCGAAGAGTCGAGCCAATAACAGCTTCCAATCTTGGATTGTTAGCGTGAAAATGTATTGAATTAAAACAATTTATTTCTCTCTTTATACAAGGGATGCATATGGGGACGGTTTCAATTGTCCTTTTCATCTTTATGAGAAAAGATAAGGACTAATAAATCGAAAAAAAATGTATTCATCATTCAGATTTTCTTGTAAGATTTTTTTCCGGTAATATATTATCCTTCCTTTAGCGGTGATTCAACAAAACTAGCGGTTACTTTGCGATTAAAATCTGAGCCATCATTTGTGGACACTCTCAGTGTAGACTGAAATGATGGCAAAAATTCCTTTGCATACGGACATTGCGTTCCTTTTAACGTGCATCCCCAGCCCTGCACTTTCTATGTTTGCCCCGCTGAACAGTAAAAGATGCCAATGCAATAATAGAGAATTGCGTAAAATAACAACTGCGCCGGGTTCCCTGTCATCAGTCGTTATTCAAAAGCAACTCACTGTTCTTCAGAAATCAACCACTCTTTCCAAGCCCTTGTCACAAATTTCTCTTTCTCCCCCCCCTACTTTTTCATTCATAACTGCGAGTCTTTCAGAAAAATGTGCTGTCGATTTCCTAAAATAATGACGTTGATGGTGAAGATAAAGAAACTAAAGAAGAACGTCCATCAAATAAAATAAACGACGGACACGACAATTGTTGGACAGGGAAGATCGTTTCTTTGGTGTTAGTTTTGTGGGGAGGCGGTTAAACTCTATTTGGTAATTTATTCTTTTGCCTCATTTTTTTTTAAATACTATTTATTTATTTAGATTACATTGACAAAGGTTTTTAATTTACTTTATTAGTTTGGATTATGTACTTCTTGGTTTATATATATTTTGTTTATTTCTTAAATAATTTGCGAATAAAATAACAAATAAACAGAATAAGTCGAAAAGAAAGGCGGCAAAGAATTGTGAATGGTGAAAATAATGAAAAAAAGGAAAGGCAAAAGACGGAGCTAAAAATATGAAAAATGCAACGAACAAAAGGGAAAATGAAAAAAAAAAAGTATGAAAAAGAAAATATAAAAGTTGATAAAGACGAGGAAGAAAAAGAAAGAAAATGGTGAAAAGATGCAAACAATAACTGAAGCGACAAGGAAAACGAAAAAAGAAAGAAAAATATAAAGAACGTGAAAGAAAGACAAAATGGTAAAGAAGAAGCGAAAATGAGAATGAAGAAGAAAATCAAAAAGAAAAGAAAATTAAAACATAACAAATCAGAAATAAAATAAAATACGAAACCAAAAAAGAAGAAAGAAAACAAAACACGAGAAAGACATGGAAAATAAAAAAAAAGAAAAAGAAAATATATTTTATATATAAGAAAAAAGGGATAAATAAAAACAAAGAAAGAAAAAAGGAAAAAAAAAACGAGAAAGAAAAAGACAATGAATTAGAAAGTAAAAGAACAGTTAAAACTTAGAAAGGAAGGAAAAATGAAAAACAAGGAAAATAAAAAGGAAATTAAAAAAAAGGACTGAAAAAAGTGATAATGATGGGAAGCACAGAAAAAAAGGCAAGAAAATGAATAAAAAAAATCTAGAGAGAATGAAAATTAAAGCATAATTAGAAGAACATAAATAACGAGAAAGAAATGAACTAAAAAAGACGAAAAGAAAAAATCGAAAGAGACAAGGGGAATTTAAAATAAAATAAAATTTAAAAATAATGAAAGAAAGGAAAACGAAAAACAAAAAAGAAATAAAAAGATGAAAGGCAAGTAAAATGAAGCAAAAAAAAACATAGGGACAATATTAAAAACAAGAAAGACAAGGAAAAATGAAAGAAAAGAAAGCAAAATATACAAATCGAAGAAAATGTTAAAAGCGAAAGTGACAACATAAAATGAAAGAAGAAATGCAACCGTAAAACGCCAAAAATAGAAGGAAAATGAAAAATAAGGGAAAACGAAGACAAAAAACTCCAGAGAGAGTGGAAGAAAGAAATATAAAAAAATAAAAGAAATATGAACAAGGAAAAATTTTAAAAGTGAACAAAAGAAATAAGAAACATTCTCTGTAGCACAAAATAAAAAAAAAACGAAAAAACAAACAAAATATAGACTATAAAGAAAGCAAAAGAATGAAAAAGAAAAAAAATAGGAGGAGAGAGGCGTAAATAACTCTAACAAAAAGCCGGAAAGAAAGAAAAAAAAAGATACATGAAACGCGAAAAGAAAATTAAATTAACCTCCTGTTATAATTCTCGATATTCTTTACAAAATCCAATGAAGGATCTTTAATATAATCGATCCTGATCAAGCATCTCGGCTCTAGTCACTTCCTCACCAATGTGACATGGCTTCTTTCTGGCAATTCTACCCATATTTACATGGCAACTGATCTGCTGAGCTTGCTTCCTGGTTCCCTGACTACATGAATATATGCGTGGTAATAAATTTGGCAACTAGGTTTCATTTTTTTACTGTTGGAGTAGCTAGATGCAACCGCCATTTCTACTCTCTTTCTATTTATTGTTTCCCTCATAATATTCAAAAAATTTAAATGCAACATCAATCACTATCTTTCGTCGTCTTGAACACACTTTCCACAATCCTCTCCAGTAAATTTTTCTCATTCTCTTTCACTACCTGTAATTCCTCTGCGTTACAGTAGTATTAGGGTTAATCGAATGAATAAAAAGCTGGAAAATGAACTACAATAAAATAAATAAATGAAGTGTCGTCTTGGGGAAGACGGTAAACTGAATCCGCGTCCTGGGTAAGACGATATAATACATCCAACATCAGGAGGCTTTGAGAATCATGGAACCACCTTTCAATTGCTGATGTTTCCAAGACCACCCTAACCCGGGATGGTAGCACCTGCCAGTGTCCCACCTATGGACAAATAGTTAAACCCTCAAAACGGGTCAAAACACTATGAAATTATTAAAAATAGGTTTTAATACCAGCAATACGTTTTGGGGAAAGAAAAAATATTACCAGTAATACATTTTTAGAAAAAAATATTACCAGCAATAAACAATCTTGTCAGCATTAAATAACATTTATAAAGAAAAAAGTCTTATAAATACGTTGTTAGAAAAGAGGATTTAGTGTCTGAATAAACTGATAAAGGATGGTGGTTAGAAACAGCTAAATTACGAAAGGGACGACAACCGAGTAAAAAAAATTATCAACAAAATCCAGCAGCCAAAAATTACAGAAAAAAAAAACAAAAACAAAGAACAAATAAAAAATTATGATTAAAAGATGTTGATACAATTGTACAGAGGTGATCTGAAATGCGAAACAACATTACAATCATCGCAAAAACAGAAAAAAATGCATATAAACTAATCATATAAATGTATAAATCATGAATTATTACTAAATTATAATTGCGCAGAGGTGATCTCAAACGGGAAACGTAACTGCAATCATTAGCAACACAGAGCAAATGCAGTAGAATCGATTATATATAGGTAAATGTCATGAAACCTAACAAAAAGCAAATGCTATTCGTGTACACAAACGAAAAAAATTTAAATAATAAATTAATTCCATAACATATACATAAATAAATAAATAAATAACTGCATTACAAGTATATTGTTTTTAGAAAGGATTGGATGTGAAACGTTACCGAGTTGGCATTTTTGCAAGTAACTTGTATTATAAACACAGTGCAACTTGTATCAGCAAAACAAGTTCTCCTATAAATAAGAAAATGAATTTCTTTGAATCTTTTAACGTTCGAGTCGATCATGCAATCCAGTCCACAGAGCGAAAACGAAATTGTAGCGAGAGAAAAAAAAAGGAATACAAGCTGTGTCAGATAACGAATGACACAATTTCTCCGGATTACAGCGAGAAATTGATATAGCGTCGGAAGATGGAATGTGTTAGAAACTTGCTTGACAACTGCAAAATTGTGAAATAAGAGAATGATAGTTTCCATAAACAATGCACGACACCGAACGTTCCAAAGGCACTCGCAAAGACATTCTTCTATCTCCGTGTCTCTTAAAAAAGTGCATGAGCATAGCTTCTCACAATGTCGTGTCTTTGTAGAACTAAGCAACATTTGGCACGTTATCATTTCGCTTTGTCAGCGCTCTACCATCCATTTTATTTTTTAATCTTCACTCCCAAACAAGGCGATAATGTCACAAAGACGAAGGGAGTAGCTGAGTGTCGCAGAAAGAGTGAAAGCGTCCGTGAAGGGAATGGATAATGACAGAACAGGTTTCATAAGGACAGAAGATGGCGATTGAAGTGGCATTTAGATTTTTGAAGATTGTAGTTGACATGAAAGCGACAATCTGGCAGAGGTTTCTATAAGCGGGAAGTCTGAGAGGAGAAACTATTAGAATATCAATTAAAGTTACAGTAAGCTCTTTCAAGAGTAAAACGTTGAGGATTAAATACGTCCTTCGAAAATTTAAATGCAATGTCAATCCTTACCGTCTGTTTTTCTCAATCCTATTCTTACATCATCTTTTTTTTCTGAATAACGTCTTCTTATTTTCTTTCATTCTCAGTAACTCCTTGGATCTTAGTGACATTATTACTTTTCTTAGAGTGGAATAATTAAAAATAAATAAAAATAAATAAAATCTTTGCAGAGTTATAAAAGAATCTAGAACTAAAAATTAAATAGGAAAACGTTTTTTTATTATAAAAAGCATATAAAACATTACCCTTTGCTACATATTAAAATTTTAGGATTATCAGAATTTCAAAATATACAATTAAAATATAAATATAGTTTAGGCAGTGTTTTCTTCCTTTTTCTCCCTCGCTGTGATCGAAATGCTGAGTTAATTACCATGTTGAGGTGAGAATTAATCATTAGTAATGGAGGACACTTTAGCTTAAGAGTAAAACCATGAAAGGTCCCACCTTATTTATATAGATCTCGAAAGATTCGTTTGGAAATGGATATTATTTACATTATTCGGAGTATTGTCCTCATCTTTGCGCCATATTTATTACAATGTTTCGGCCGTTGTACGCTCCGACCTTCTTCAGGGGTTTGGAATGTCGAACTGAACCCTTTATTTCGCTCACGGGGGTAGACTGTTCTAGTTCCACGTTTCCATGTTTAATGGATATCAGTTATCTCCTGTTAATTTTTAAAGTTCTCCACTGCCTTAGCCGGGTATTGAACTCACACTCTTTGGGTTCTGTCATTGGATTTAACCAACGCCTTTATCCACTGTGCCATGTGTCCTCAGAAATATAGACGGATATTGGAAATGGATAATCCAACAGTGTTTTAAAAATGTTTTCTAAGCTAAATTTATAAATTATTTCTCTCCGAAATGCACTAGCCTGGCCAGGATATGACACACGTGCTATGTACTATAGATGCAACCATATATACTTACTTAAACAGGTAATATCGGCACACATATATATACACGTACGTGCAAACACATTTATATATTTCAGTGTCAGGTTTTCAGCGGAGGCATTAGGCCAAACACTCAGTAGATATATTAATGTTTTCAAGAATATCACGTCAAGTGATGTTATGTATCCCGTAGCCCACTAAGGTTGTAGGATCTACAAACTGACTACGACCATAACAGCAGTGGTATGTCTACGATAAGATAACCGGGCAGAACCCTTACCTCTTAGGGTTGACTTTGAATTCACAGATTTCCTTCTCCTCGACTGGTTGACACCTCAAAGCAAGAGGGTCTGTCCCGATTTGAGATGACAATGTTTGCAATGCAGCATTATATGATTGCACAATATGTTTATTTTTTGATAGTCGGTCTCTTTCTATCCGTTTGTGTGCGAGTTACTTTGCTGATTATTTGAATGATATCGTTTTTCGCTTCAGTGATTACAACTCTGTTGCTTTCAAGGAATCTTGTTCTAATGTCGTTTGATTCATCTTCATCAGTGACAGCATCTGAATCATTACAGATATTTATGTCACAGTCAGATTCCTCCTTTTTATTTCCTGAGAGATCATTATTTCTTATCTCATTTATTTTAGTTTGTATCTCATTCTTGTACTCATGATTGTACTTTGTCTTGTATTTAATTTTATCGCATCTATTTCTGTCTTTGCGAGGATTTTATTTCGCATGATGTTCCTGCGGGCATTGACAAGAATATTTGAGGTAGGGTCTTATTTTAGCTTCTACCATATCTCTCCATATTTGGTATGCCTGATACGTGATGTTTTTTGTGGATTTTCAAGAGCAGTGACTTTTTAAATACTCTTCCCAATTCCAGTTCATTCGCTTTCTTTTTATTAATTGATTTAACATTAAGTCAGCAGGTCTAATTTTGGAGTTAATCTGGCTTCGGTGCCGAATGTTACATTGTTGATGGAATTGTTTGGTCCAGTGACCGATTTTTCAAGCCCAGACTGGGTCCTTTCTGAGGGACACTGCCTTTGTTTATTCGGGTGACGACCGATTCCGTATAAGTCTTTGTTTGTATTCAATGAGATTTGTATTTTTTTGCGTTTTATCCAAAACAGCCAAGTGGTAATTTTCTTCAGCCTAATATTTCTAGGCCAAGGATTATTATTATTATTATTATTATTATTATTATTATTATTATTATTATTTCCTTTGGTTTCTGGTGTATTTATTTCTGTGTCAAGGCCAGAGATCTAAGGTCAGTAATGACATGATGACATTTTCTTCTGAGCAGTTTAAAAAAAAATATCGCACATATTTTACATAGATAAAGCCCTTCGTAAGCTGTAGGCTGTATTTGTGAGTTCAATTGTATTCTTGGGATACAAAGGATTCCATTCATGAGTCTATTGCAATCTTTTCCAATCAATCCGAGTGCTCCAAATACAACTGGAATTTTTAATGTCTTCATGTGCCACATTTTTGAAATTTCGATTTCAAGGTCTTTGTATTTTGATATATTGCAGTCTGCAACAAGAATGCAGATTTTGCTTTGGCGGTCTCTACTCTATTGGCTCTTATTATTATTATTATTATTATTATTATAATTATTCCTTTGATTTCTGTTGAATACATATTTCCTTTCGGGTAACAACCAGAATTCTAAGGTCAAAAATGGCTTTATGACATTTTCTACTGATAATTTTTGCAAACAGAAAAAGAAAACACACAGAAAAAAAAGATCACACGTATTTTACATAGATAAATCTCTTCGTAATGTGTGAGCTGAACTTGTGAGTACAATTTTTGTATTTCTTTAAGCTATGGGCCACCAGGAGTCCCTTCCGTGAGTCTATCGGAACCTTTTTCATTAAATCCAAGGGCTCCAACTGGAATTATTTCCAATTCCAATTGGAATTATTATTATTATTATTATTATTATTTTATATTTTCTTTGATTTCTGGCGTTTACACATTTCTTTACGGGTCCCGTCCAGGGACCTAAGGTTAGAAATGGAATCATGACACTTTCCACTTTCAAAAAAAAAAATACATAGATAAAGCCCTTCGTAAAGTGTGGGCTGTACTTGTCAGAACAATTTTTTTATCTCCTTGAGGCATGGACTTCCAGGAATCCCTTCAATTAGCCTACTGCAATCTTTTCCAACCAGTCCTAGGGCTCCAACTACAAAAGGGATTGTTGATGTTCCCATATGCCACATTTTCGAGATTTCTATTTCAAGATCCTTGTATTTTGACATTATAATAATAATAATAATAATAATAATAATAATAATAATAATAATTATTATTATTATTATTATTATTATTATTATTATTATTATCTTTGATTTCTGGTGTATATCCATTTCTTTCCGGATCCCAACCAGCGACCAAAGGTCAGAAATGGCATAATGACAAGATTAAGATTATTATTATTATTATTATTATTATTATTATTATTATTCAGATTAAAATTACTGCTGGGATTCATTAGCATTACAGTTATTACACATACTGATTATTAATATTAATTGTAGTAATAAAATATGAAGCGGAAGGATTATTTTTAATTTAAAATATCAATGATCATTTACTTCTTGTAAGGTTTTTGAGAATAACAATACAAAGAAAAAACTAAATGAACAATACATCAAATTACGCAGACTTTGGAACCGAGAAGAAACCATTGATCGCTTTCCCGCTTTAAAATTCCATTCATCCCCTTTCTTCCAGGTCGATAAAACTCATGCTTCAACAGTATCCTCGAGAACGCATCAGCCAAGCATGGAAGCACGCATATCCCAACAGTATCGCCTCCACAGATGCCAGCTCAGTGCCCCTCCCCGCCCAAGCCTTCTGGATTCCAGTTAATCGGGTGCGTTTATTTGATCGAATATGACCTGATCTACTCGACCCGACCCGAGTGGATCCGACTTGACCCTCAACAGACCTAATTCGCTTGGGGTGACTCTCGCCGGCGTTGTATTGTTTTAATGATGGCGGAAATGAAGCGATGTTTGTCTGTCTCCCAACCATCGACCGCTCGGTTGAATATTGTTATTGGATGACGTAATTAATCAAGGGCGTGGGACAGGGAATATGGAAGGAAAATAAAAGTGGATGGCTAGTCGGGGGGAAAGAGAGTGAATGAGAAAGAAAGATTTGAAAGCACAGGGGAGTCAGCGCAAAGAAGTGGAGTAATATTTAAGAGGAGGAGTAAGCAAAAAAATAAATAAATAAATAAAAAAAGGGGAATATGGTAAGAGTAAGAATAGGGGGCTATCGGAAATAAAAAGCTATCCTAATTAAGAGGAATTCCTAAGAGGATATTTTGAGAGAGAGAGAGAGAGAGAGAGAGAGAGAGAGAGAATAACAGCAAGAGAAATTAAAGATGCGAAATATATTAGGGGAGAAAATGGTTGAAGAAGATGAAAGAAGAGAAAGAAAGGAAGATGCAATCAATTAAAGTGTGAGAAAAAAATAAAGGCGAAATGGATAGGAAAATAACAGGAAAATATGAGGCGAGGAAAAAAAGAAATAAAAAAAACAAAGAAATAAAAGCAATAAATGTAACAAAAACAAAGAAAACTTACCATAGACGAACAGATAGAAAGAATATCAAATAAGCCATGAAAACATATCAGATGAAGAGAAGAGAATGAAACAATGGTTGAATAAAGAAGTAAAATAGAAAGCAAGAAAAAAAACAATTTAAGGAAACAAAAGACAAGAGGGTCAAGCGAGAAATCAGTTAACTCCACAGAATTGGGAGAAAAAAAAAGAATAATAAACAATGGCAGAAGTTATGAAGATCGGGTGCTTTAATTATGTAGAATAATCATAAAAAATGAAAAAAAATGACTTCTGTATTGGCCTCAGGGATTTTCCCAATGTGTATTAGCGCGATATGGTATGTCCAGAATGCATATCAAGTGCTTGTGAAAAAGAAAAAACAAAAAAAAAACTGTATAGTATGTCGCTTTCGCCTTCGGAAAATCCCCCAAAAAAGAACCTTTGGAAAAATTAAACGAGGATGAAAAAGAAAAAGAAAGAGAAGAAATTAGTTGAAATCGACAAACAAGGAGGAAAAAAAGAAATAGTGAGAGAATGAAAAATATGGATGGATACAGAAAGCGGGCCTGTAATAAAGTCACAGGAAACAAGCAACAATTTGGGCCTGGTAAAAAGTTACAGGAAAAAAAATCACAATTAATTTATAGTGGTCGGTAAGAAATTCATCTATTTATGTCGGGTTTTTTTTTCCAGAGTTTATTGGTCCCCTCCGTTTTCAACAGAAATTCATGGCAAATCGATCCAACATCTAAAAAAGGTTTTCTGACAATTCTACATATTCGATATATATTTCATAATTGAGAAGTCTTAGGATCTCTTAGGACCAGACTTTATGAAATGAAAGCTTTGAGGACGGCATTTTTTAACGTTTACGCCAAAATGTTAACAAACCACGGAGATCATATACGTAGAGAGATTAAGCTGTAAAATATATTTTCTTACAATGCTACGGTCATATATTTGCTATATTTCATAATTAGGGAGTCGCAGAATCTTATCAGGCCCGACTTATATGCGAAGAAAGATTCAATTTGACATTACAATTTCAATTAAAAGTTCTTAGAATTTTCAGACTATTTACCAGACTGTGATATTGTCCACATTTAGGATAAGAGGCTAGCATTTTGTCCGTAGGTTTTTCTCCCTTGTTTGTTGACGTTGCCCTGTTAATTTTAACCTGTGGCTTTCGTTCCTGTTATTATTTACCGTGACTTTTTCCTGTGACTTTTCTACCTCGATTCCTATACGGAGAAGAAAATGAAACGGCAAAAAAAGCGAAAAAGATGAAAAGTGGAGCGAAGAAGATAAGGAAGAAAAGAGTAAGAAAAAGAGTAACATAATTGTCATATAGAAAGAAAATGAGTAACTACCGACACCGAGGTTCGAACGTGACACTCTGGACTTAGGAATATATGTTTTCCGCCAGGTGTATAAATAACGGTGTCAGACTACTGACTGAAGTGATTATTGAGTGACTATTGAGTGGAACTATCTAGTCGAATTAGTGTGAATTATTGTGCATCGATGGTCTGGATTTTGATTTAGGATTTACCGGACGTTAAGCCTAGTCGCACTACTAACAAGGTATTCACTGAAATGGTTAATTATTTTTGGTTGACTTTTCCTTCTTTATTCTTGTTAAGTATTTACTTGCGGTTGTAATTACTGTTTTATCATAACATTTCAAGTCTTGAGTTATAGTTAACTATTAACGGCCACCGTACGTCTAAAAAAAAAAAAACATAGAACACCCGTGAGGGATAAATGAAAAGAGAAAGTGAAACCTCCTTGAGATTAAGACAAAAATGTCAAGCCAATACACAAATGAAGCATGAAGCTTGTGATAATTCGTTATTATCGGCCAGAAAAAAGTGTATGTTTTTTAATCCCAAAGACACTCCAGATTAAAATGATAAGAGGCTTGCAATTAAAGTATGTGCATACAACATTGGTGCTTAAATTCGGTAAACGTAGATTCATATTTGCAAAACAAGAGAAGCATTTTTATTCGAAATAAGAGAATGCAATTGAATGTCAACCCATATATTCACCTGTTCACCTCTGTGTGTCTCGCTACCTGCATTCTCGTGTACCAAGACTAGCCAGCCAATATCAGCTGTCATAGATGTCAAAGATGGCAAGCTACTCATAGACAGAATAGAAACTCTGAATAGGCGAACCGAATACTGCGACGCTCTGTACAATTACGATCTCCATCCAGATAACTCTTTACTACAAGCGGAACAGTACACCACCGAAGGCGAAGACAGACCACCAATACCGGAGGTAGAGGTAGAAGCTGCATCAAGGAACTTGAAACCTGGGAAATCAACTAGAGTGGATAATGTACGCATTGAAGTGATGGAAAATGAAGATGGTGAAACTGTCAACGCCCTAACAGCTCTATGCCAGCGGATATGGGAACAGAAGTGGAGAAAAGAGTTGGGCCCCGTCAGCGGTGATACCACTACCAAATAAGGGTAATCGCAAGCAATGTCAGAATTATAGATAAATAAGCCTGATCAGCATCACCAGCTAGGTCACCCTTCGTATTATCCTCAACCCTCGGAAAACCAAAGTTGAGGAACAACTGTCACTATTTGAGGAGAAAAGTAAATGCATATGTGTGTTAGAAAATTATCATAATTATATTAATA